TTGGTGTCAGTGGAAGGAATAGTGCCCCGTCATTGGTGTCGGTGGGAGGAATAGTGCCCCGTCGTTTGTGTCAGTGGCAAGAATAGTGTCCCATTGTTGGTGTCCGTGGGAGGAATATTTCCCTGTCATTGGTGACGGTGGGAGGAATAGTGCCCCGTTGTTGATGTCTGTGGGAGGAGCAGTGCCCCATCATTGGGAGGAATAGTGTCCGTCGGTGTTATGGGAGGAATAGTGCCCATCATTGGTGTCAGTGGGAGGAATAGTACCCCATTGACAGTGTTGGTGGGAGGAATAGTGCCCCATCGTCAGTGTCAGTGGGAGGAATAGTTCCCCATTGTTGGTGTCAGTGGCAGGAACTATGCCTCACTGTTGCCAACAGTGGGGGGGGGAATAATGGCGCAAGGACAGGATAAAAGCAGGCATAGGGCCGCATTCGGCCCTAGGGTCACAGATTGGAGACCACTGTCTTAATGCATTCTCAGCATTAAGATAAAAATGCCCCAGTAGTCACCTCCCTAAATAATAACCTGAGTCTGATCTGGATCCAGCGCTGTGCCCGGCTGCAGCAGCGCTGGTCTCTCTCTCTGCTCACAGGACACATAGGCAGTAGTAAGAGGTTTTCTATGGGTGCAGAGACAGAAGGAGCAGACAGCACCAGTGGGAGACCCCAGAGGAGCAGGTTTGGGGAAGCTCTGTGAAATTCCATTTCACAGAGCAGGTAAGTATAATTTTCTTTTTATTTTAATAAAAGGAAAATGTAACCTTTACCACCACTTTAACATTATTTCCAACCAGTTTTTGATTACTGTTAGAGACAACACATGTTGGGCAAGAGGTATCCCCACATTTGATCTCAACACCTGGAGTTTCGATAGTGTTCTTTCTACCCAACTGAAATTTTGATTAAAATGTGCTTATGCGACCTACTCCTTATGTTTTCATTGTTTTAGGACTGTGAATTTGTTTGTTGTTCACTTACTGAATGCCTCTAAAAACCTAATATAAAACCTTTGATAGTAATAAACAAATCATGCTCATAGCAAAGTAGTGCTTTTCATAACTCTTGAACTACAACTTTCTAATATTTTATGCAATACACGTAGCCGACATGGAGATGGGTTAAGGAAGTGTTTCACTCTCAGAGTTGAGGCATGTAGTGTAGCATGATAATTCTTAGCTCTCAGAGTTTGGTGAAAACTAAAATGACAATGAGCAGATGATAGGTGAAGATACAAGAACTGGTGTTACTGCTGAAAGTAAGAAGGAAGAATTCCTACACATGGTGAGACAGCTTTTTTACTTGTTCTGACCATTTAAGGTGGTAGCCCTTCACATAATGAAGGTATATTTCCAGTGTGATCATTTGCCACATTTTTTAAAAGTCTGTTGACACTTTTTTAATCTGCTAAATTGTAACTCCATTAGAACAGCTCTTGGATTTTGTAATGAAACAGCACAGGGATAATGGCAGGTATGAATAGTCTTACATATCATTGTTCCTGCAGGAGCTGTAGGATCTTTTACCGAAACTAATGCTGGGTACACAAGTAGAGGATTTTTGTTTAATTGAGCGGGCTGAATGAAAAAGAAAACTGAAAGGTCATCATACTAATGAAGTGATGTTAGTGCGGCAATCTCCCCTGCTGAGCTATTGCGATCTGACATGGGGACTGCTTCCCGCCAGAACACACTGATCAGAGCTGGCCATTGGCTGCCAGCACTGATCGGATGCTGGTTTTCCAGCATGCTCATTCGACAGAGGCCAAATGTGAGACCAACTTTTGTTGGACAGGGAACTGTACACACAGGCCGAAAGTCGGCTGGCTCCTACTGAACCAACCGTCTTAGGCCTAGGTTTGGTCCATGTATGACCAACTTAAATCACACAGAAGAACTTAGATTTACCTTAGCTAACAGTAGTTAATCACATTCACCTGGACTTGTTCTGTAATGTTAACAATTCAAGACCAAGATAAATGAGATCTTTAACAGACATATTGGCCTTCATTTAATGGAAAACACCTTTTCCAATCTACAATATCCACAGACAAGCAGTTTGGTAATATACTGTTGACCATGGTTTGCCTGAAGTTATGTGACTTATTTTCTTCACATGTCTTGGTAAAGTCTACAGACTTTCTTCATGTTCACCTACAGGCTGTGACATTTCAGAGATTATCTCAAATATGGAGACATTAGTTTTTATATGCCAGTAAGTCTCCGTTTCTGTGTTATGTTAGTTTTCTGTGCTACAATATTCAATGAACAGAAAGATAACTATTTTAATACAAAGGTATCTGTAAAATGTCTTCTATTCTTGTGCTCTTTCGCCAGTGTGAATAGATGTTTATATTCCTGAAAACAATCTTGGAGTGCAAGTAAATGGGATGCATCATTAAGGGATAACAACTGCACCCCACAAGGCAAAGTAAACTTCTCCTGATTTACTAAAGGCAAATACACTGTTCACTTTGCAAGCAAAATTGCATTATGCATCATAAGAGTGAATATTGTGAAATTTCCCTTTGCAAAGCTTACCCAATTAAGTGCAAGTAAAAATAAAAAAAACAGTATTTTTGCTTGCACAAGATTGGACAATGGAATTCAGCACAGCTTCAGCTCATTCGCAAGTTCTGGGGAAAATTCCCCTGCAAAGTGCAACTTTGCTTATTATGGATAAAAGGTACAACGTTTTAGAAAAAATGATACTATCGCTGTACATGGTGACATATCAGTAATTTATTCAACTTGTAAAGTTACTGGAAGGCCCACTTTCTGTTTAAACTCACAGCTTAAAAAATGCCCAATTTCATAGCAAATGTTTGTTGCTCCCCTAGGCACCATGGCAATTGAGTTATAGTATACTTTCCATTGAGTGCATTTCCACTGAATTTTGTAATAATATTGTAAACTGCAAATTCTTCCTGGTAATAGACCCCTGTGTCCAAGTAACATTGTGGCACTGGTTAAAGATCAGGACTAGATTTATTAGTAAAATAAATTCCATAGTTCATTGTGTTTACACAGATTTCTGTTATGTATTTCCACTACTCCCCACCTAGACACAACATCATAATTTACTTGTGAAGTATAATATAAATATATACTATCTTGGGAAACGTTCCGGTTCTTAAATATATATATGAATTGCTATAAACCATGTTTTTCTCCATGTAGAAGTATAGGATTTAGAGTAACCAACCCTACCAATTTCCAATGAAAGCCCCACAGTGCATCTTAATTTTCTTCCTTTCCTCGTATACAGTTTCCTACCATACAAATATTTCTATTTAGAAAGCACCTGAAAAAGTGACAAGCCCCTAAACTCATAAATACACGTCTTTGCAGAATATTTTTTGCAAACTGTTGTGGAACAAGGCCAATGTTTGCTTTGATTTATTCTATTTCTAACCTCATTTTACAGGCCCTGTATTGAGTTTCCTGCATCCTGAAAAGCTTTAAGAAACATATCTGCTGCTGCCTTGACAATTAATTAGAGAAGCGATGAACATTTATTTTACGTTGTATAAATTTGACAGTTGAGGGATATCCTTATATCTTTTAGAGTGTGCAATAAAGTATGACTCTTGTGTAAAATATTTGGAGACTTTTAATTTTAAATGTCTTTTCGTTTTGCAATGTGCTTTTTTTTTGTAAATGGGAATGAATGCATATGCAACTTCACATTTTAGGCAAAATAAATTTAGCTGTCAGACTCTGCACTTACTGAATTACCGGTACCATGCCAAGCAAGCCAGTAAGTACACCAGTTATTTGCCAGCTTTATTAGAGAGCAGTCCTGGTGGGAGTAAAAAAAAATCTGACTATACTGAGTAAAAATGTTGTGCATACTTTACTTATTTCAAATTCAGTTTTCAGCTTGTCAGTGTCCCATTTAGGGTGCCCTCCACCCTGTCTCCAGCTATCTTTGCTGGACTTCCTCACCCTGACCAGGGTATATAAAGTGGGGAAGAAGCCCCTAAGTAGTGTGGTGCATGGAAAGAGCTAGCCATGAAGAACTTAGATGGTGGTAAGACTTGTCATGTGCTGCCCCTCAGTGGTTCCCAGCTTGGGACTGGTTCAGCAGCATTAGGGTAATGGACTGTGAGAGTAGCCTATCCAGAGACTGAGATGCAGAACACAACCAATACTTTTATGTGGACTGTGTGTTGTATAGCATTCTCAAAGGAGAGAGTTCTCCTCTGAATGCCTTTTTATGAAGCGGTATAGAACACTTCTCCGAATGAAGGGAGAAGCGATCTACAAATGCTTTGAACGCTGGAAAAGGGCTGCTGTTGCTATAATCTCGAGAGATTACAGTAAGAGATCAGTCAAACACCGTTTACTAAGCAGCAGTAAATTACCGCTGCTTCGTTTGCGGTTCCTCCGATTCTCCAGCTCCGGGCTGGAGAATCTGGAGGGAGAATACAGATCACCAGTGAAGGTCTGACATCGCTCCTTCATACACTGGCCATCTGTGTGCTGAGATGACCAGAGGAGTACATGTGTATCTAGGAAATAATCCAGGCCTTTTTTAAAGCAATCCACTGAGCTGGCCAGAACCAACTCTTGAGGGAATCTATTTCACATTTTCATAGCTCTTATTGTGAAGAAACCTTTCCGTGTTTGAAGAATAAATCTTTTTTCCTCTAGATATAAAGAGTGCCCCCCTTTTCCTCTGCGATGACCTCAGGGTGAATAACTCTACACCGAGTTCACTATATGAACCACTGATGTATTTATACATGGTGATCATATCCCCCCTTAATCTTCTCTTCTCAAGAGAGAAAAAAGTCAGTTCCTCTAATCTCTCCTCATAGCTGAGCTCCTCCATGCCTCTTATCAGTTTGGTTGCCCTTCTCTGCACTTTCTCCAGTTCCCCAATGTTCTTTTTGCGAAATGGTGCCCAAAACTGAACTGCATATTCCAGATGAGGTCTTACTAATGATTTGTACCGGGGGAAATGATATCTCTCTCTCTCCGGAGTCTATACCTCTTGTAGCCTCCCTGGCGGTATTCCCGAGTGTAGCTCAGGGTAAAGTTTCAGTACCACAAGCGGTAACCCCCGAGCTACACTCGGGCTTACCATGCGGCGCTGCTCTGGGATCTGTTCTTCTCTTACCTTGTCCTGCACTCCCGTAATGTTCCTCCTGCAGTGTCCTCCCTGTAATGTTCTCCGGGATGGATGCCTTCTGGGTTCCGTCCCCTGCGTCGTCGGGACGTATGGGGACGGAGCAGCGGAAAATTTGAAAATGGCAAAAAGTGTCATTCACTAAATACACTAAAATCACATAGTATAACATTACTGTATCAAACCATTTCACATACATTTTGTCCCTAGTGCTTTGTCCTGTGCCCTGCCTGCATTTTTACTGTTCTTTCTGCCTGGAAACTGAGAAACGTCCATGGCGTCTAAAAAGCGTTCCTTTAGGTCAAAATCGGTTTTAGACCAGCTAGAGAACAGCGATAGTAAATTAGAACTACTTGCAGAATTGAGTGATAATGATTCGTGGGGAAATTCGTCATCAGACACTGAAAACGATTTTGCGACTTTGCTCAGTGATGTGCGAACTTGGTGCTATATTTCAAAATTCAGTGTTTTTGGTTTGATTATATTATTGAATTAAATTTATTATTATATTATTATTTTTTATGATTATTTATCAAATTATAATTTATCACTTCGTATTTTAAATTTTAACATACCCGGGATGTTTACTAGACTCTTGTTCGGACAGATTTCAGTGAGTTATTCCTAAAAATTACAGGCCTACAATAAAAAAAAAAAACATATTTCCATGCAAACAAATGTACCGCTTTGAGCACAGAAATATGGACATAATCAGACCGCTAGGGAGGTTAATACAAGAGAGGATTTTTCTCTCTTTAGAAACTGCAGCTTGGCATTGCATGCCATTATTAAGTTGTGATCTACCAGAACTCCCAGATCCTTCTCCACCATTGTTTCCCCCAGTTGTACCCCCCCCAGTATGTATGATACATGCATATTCTTAGCCCCCAAGTGCATAACCTTACATTTATCAACATTAAACCTCATTTGCCATATAGTTTCCCAATAAAACAGTGCATTGAGGTCGGCTTGTAAGTTGGAGAAATCCTGTAAGGACGGTATTCCATTGCAAAGCTAGCATTTAAGAAATCAAGTTTTCTGGCAGCTGGACATTGCGTTAATGGGCAATCTGGGATGTATGCTACATCTAGCATGGTGTGAAGGGTTCCAACAACTTATTGGGCCTGATGCACTGTGAGGGCAGGTGTTTGGTGTTTGTTCCTGTGATCCTCTGGGTAAAATACAGAGAGAGGAGGCTTCCGCTGCCATTCTGGGATGTAAATGAGGAAACCAGCCCAGAAACCAGTATGCCCTTTGAGTCTTTGTTTTACTACAAGTTAACCAGTTCAGCAAGCCATGGACTGTGTGGTTGCATCCACTATGGGCCATTTGGCTATGTGCCACCCGGTACGCCCTGTGGTCACAAGATGGTGATGAGTCCCCCAGAGATACAAGTGTAGTGTTAGTCCAACCACTTGAGTCAAACAATTTAAAGTAGGCTCCCTAGTGTAGCAACTAACTTATCAACTGCTGCTAGGAGGCGCAACTAGCTTCTTGTATGCTGCCTATCTCTATATGTATTCCAACACAGTCAGTAAGTAAAAAAAGTAAATTAAAAACATTTGCCTAAGAATGACCGCCAGAAAACTAGCATTTTCAGAAGGCGAGGTCAGCAATGGCAACCTACAAATATCTCTTCCAGTGGGTTTCCATTATGTTCTATATGTGTTCTTTTACAGTCATGCTTTTTTCTGCATATTGACAATGTAATGTAAACTGATTTAGCAAAAAATCAGTTCCAAAACCAGTAATCGTCTAATTGTTCCTCAGTAATCGAAGGAATGAAATATCAGAATATCAGGGCTAATTTATATTATACAAAATGATGCTTCAGAGATGCAGTCCTTCTTCCTCTGAAGCTTGTAGCGATAGAGGGTTGCATATCCAAACATCAATCTGTATGTATGGCCTAAAAAGATAATAAAAGTATTAATAAAACGTCCACAAAAATGATTCAAAACAAGATCCCTATGTTCCCTCAACATCTTCTCATGCCTGTATCCCCAATCATTCCCTAAATATTCCAAAGTGAGGGAAATTCCCCAGAACAGTTGTCCTCAGTGGAAGATTTAACCTCACCTCTTGTTCTGGTGACAATTCTAAAACAGGGGCGGACTGACAACTCATGGGGCCCCCGAGCAATAGGGGATCATGGGGCCCCTGTGTCCTTGCCCAAACTCAAAAAAGCCTATTAAAAAGGTACCAGGGGCATCTCATGGGGCCCCCTACTGACCCGGGCCCTAGGGCAATGCCCGAGTTCCCAAATGATCAGTCCGCCCCTGTTCTAAAATTTTGGATTTCCCCACACTTTCTCAGTGACAAAGGTCACCAAGACAAATAGGGGGTGAATCTCCCCAATGGGGACACATCAAGCAATAAAAAATTGACAGAGGGTCTAACTCTTCCCCTACACTATCCAAAACTTAACCACATGTTCGGAAGGTTTTCCCCCCTTCATGACAAAAGCATTTTTTGCTCTTCAACACTGTGCTACTTTAACTGGTGATTGTTTGGTCAAGTAATACTGTGCCCAAATTACATTTACCGTATATAATTTTTATCATACAAAGAACTTTCTTTTGGTATTATATAATCTCGACTGGGTTTTTTTATTGTTTCTTATATAAGCAAAAAATATAACAAATACTCTTTCTTCATAAATTAGGCCAAAATGTATTCTGCTACATATCTTTGGTAAAAATGACCCAAATCTGTGTATATAATTTAGTCTGTGTGATATTTAGATCATACAAACTATGGTATATACATATATTTAAAAATTGATCAGTCCTGATGTACTGATTGCCTATCTAATTTCTTGATGCCCTAAAATGCCAGGACAGTACATATACCCCCCCAAATGACCCCTTTTTGGAAAGTTAACAATCCAAGGTATTTAAAAAGGGACATGGTGTTTTTTTTTATCACAATTTTTTTGGAAAATTAATAAATTCATCACTTTTTCACAATTGTATTTTTACTTACTGTCACCAGTGCAGTACAGCATCATTATATGACTGGCATGGCAGTACTCAGGAATACTGACTGGTGACAGAATACAAAAAAAAAATGTTTTTTTTCTTTTCGAACAATTTTTTTCTAGTGACGTACTTCTTTGGGGAGAAGGGGGTTTGTGATTAGGGATTTTTTTTAGCACTGTAATTGCTTATACCAGTGAGGACCACTGTTATAAGCAATTCTTTTAACTGTCATGATTGGCTTTCATTCATGACAGCTTGCTTGCTATTAGCTATCACATGATACACGACTGCTGTGTATTGCCTTGTACTATGTGATAGCTGTGGGCCAATCACAGTATTACTTTTAGTAAGCAAGCTGTCATGAATGAAAGCCATTCATGACAGTTTTGCTGGCATATTATCATGTGTTGTGTAATGGATATGCATTTATGTGTTTTGTACCAACATATATAATTTGTAAGATGTACTCAGCCACCGCACTGAGTTTTAATTTTTCTTATTTCTTTAAAATGTAATGTTTTAACATTTGTAACAATAAAACTCTGTTTTTTACATATACGTTGAAGTTGCCTTAAAAGTCCCATACATTCCTTTTGGGGATCATCTACCTACATACATGTTATCATGTGATCGCTATGATAGGTCACAGTGATCACATGATACCCCGGCCACCAGCAGCAGCCTGGTACTGAACACTGGGATGGGTTTACCTAGAGATACACTGTTAATTAAGATGAGGGGTAGCTGAGTGGCTTCAACTGTTTAGGAGTGTGAAGAGAATGGGTCTTATTTGCAGAAAGGATAATGGAGTTGGAGGATGGAATCCTTCTGTAATATATATCTGGAAGTAATCTGAAATTCTAAAAAATTCCAGCGGTGCTAATCCAAACACTAATATGTGATACCCACCCTTGTCTTTTTCCAAATAAGCCCCCATTGAGTTTGTCCATGTCAGAGCCACATTCTTCGCTGTTGCCAACAGTGTGCACAAACTGGGGAAATCAACAAGAGTCAACAATGCATGACCGAATAGTGTTGCTTTAAAATCTGAATTCTTCAGACCGAAGCCAACAAAAAGCTTCATTAGTATACCATGTTTTACCACTTAGCCACAGCTACAGGCTCAGTTTTCATATCAGATATACTTTCCCTGAAACACAATGTATAATTATCATTCTTACTGTAATGGATACTTTTCCTGTAACCAAGATAAAGCTCTGTTTTATTACATAAAAATTACTTTGGTCTATTTAGTCAAACAACTGCTGTCATACTACAAGAAGGTTACAATTACCCAACGCTGTATTGACATAGAATGAGCAAGAAAACATACAATCCAGTGTCCTGCCTGACTGATAATCACACTATTTTATGGCATGTGCAGTTTTGTGCTGTACAGCTTCCATATCACCTTTCCTCTAAATAGGTGAAGCATAGCAGTATATAAGGGATCACTGAAGTATATTGCTTCACGTCAGTAAAAAAACAACTGAACACAAACTGGTCAAGTCAGTAGCAATGTGCATTTTCCGTTCTAGGTACTGTTGATGTTCTATGCATTTTATAGGCTCTGTGTGCTGAGCCAATATTTCACAGACTTCAATGGTCTCTTCTATTCTGCTGTCCTTACCGGTTTATTGGGGAAAGATGTGTATGTGACATAGTGCAGAAAACTCTGCTTGTGTTCACTTATATTAGGGAGTTATAATGAGCAGTTACCCATAGCATGTGATCAGATTTCAATTTATTGAAGTTGTATTGATGAAATACTGTTGTGCTAGTCAATCAGTATTCTTGCCACAAGTCATTGTCTTCTCAGACAAATGATATACCTTAGGTAGCAGTTCAGAAAAAGTGATTATAGCTTCAGTTGTATGCAGGCCTATAATCAAAGCATGAGCATTATTAATATACAGGATTTATATAGTGCCAACAGTTTGCACAGTACTTTACAAAATGAAGTGAGACGATTATAATACAATTAATTAAAACTGGAACCAGAAGGTTCTGTTTGTTAGAACTTACAATCTACGATGAAGGGGCAAGTGATACAAAAGATAATAGCTGTGGGGGATGAGCTGGCAGAGAAAGTAAAAGTTACATTTATTAGTTAGAGGCGAAATAAGCTTCTCTGTAGAAATGGGTTTCAGGGATTGCCTAAAGGTGGATAGAGTAGGAGACACACTATGGGGGTTATTTACTAAAACTGGAGCGTGCA